CCATGCTGGCCAGGCTGATCTCGAACTCTTGAACTCATGATCCGCCCGCCTCGGTCTCCCAAAGTGCTGGGATTACAGGCCTAAGCCACTGCACCCGGCCCTATCATTGCCCTTTTTCGAAGAGGCAGAGTGGTATGTAGAAAGAGTAAGGACTTAGGAGAGGGCGGATTTAAATTCTCGCTTGGTAAACACCTTTTATTTATCATGTGGCCTTGGATAAGTCACTTAACACACTTTCCTGAGCTCAGTTCCACCATCTTTGAAAAAAGGGAGAATAGTATCTGCCTCCATCAGGTATACTGAAGACTAAGAGAGAGAGTTTAGCTACGCCCCTAACACAGTGGCTGGCATGTATGAGGCACTTAAGAAATGGGAACTGTGGAAATAAGACAATAATGATAACCTGATCTGTTTTTAAAATTGTTTTAGAGACAGGATCTCACTCTATCACTCAGGCTGCAGTACAGTGGTGCCATAATAGCTCATTGCAGCCTCAAACTCCTGGGCTCAAGCGATCCTCCCACCACAGCCTCCTGAGCAGCTGGGACTATAAGCACATGCCACGGCAGCCAGTTATTATTATTTTTGAATTTGTCTTTTTTTTTTTTGGCGGGGGACAGATCTCACTTTTTTGCCCAGGGAATACAGTGGCATGATCTTGGCTCACTGTAACCTCTGCCTCTCAGGCTAAACGATCCTCTGAACTCAGCCTCCCAAGTAGCTGGGATTACAGGCGTGTGCCACCACGCCCAGCTAATTTTTGTACTTTTAGTAGAGACGGGGTTTCACCATGTTGGCCAGGTTGGTCTCAAACTCCTGACTTCAAGTGATCCGCCCGCTGCAGTCTCCCAAAGTGCTGGGATTACAGGCCTGAGCCACTGCACCCAGCCTGATGGTTCATCTTAAAGCCACTTTTTAAGCCTCTATCCCCTCTTTACTAGGCACAATGTCTTCATATGCTCACCATGCCCCAAATTCGGTTTCACTTGCATCCAAGGGTACTGTCTGAGAGAAGGGCAAAAGCCAACAAGGAAAAAAAACAGCCTTCCCCAGCACTGGGGATCTGGCCTCTTCACTTACATGCTGTCTACAAATGCACCATTATTCTTTCCCTATCAAATCGACTCCTTTAATCTTTTCTACAGCCCTTTCATCATCCTTGTTGCTTGTCTCAACCACTTTTAAGTCTGCCAACATCTTTCTGATCCTTAAGTAAACAGGACAAATCACTCTGCTGGGAGGCATGAACTCTCTGCCCTACCTTGGCCTTCTGGAAGTAACACTGATTGAACAACAGACATGCAGTGGGAGGCTGAGCTCCGTTTCTCATGCCTGTGTGGAGCGCAACTGCGGAAGGTAATTGTAAGATTATTGTATCTGAATCAGAACCACAGGAGCATGCAGCCTTGGCTCACCTGGGCAGTCCTGAGAGTCTGCAGGGACAGCTGCTGGGCTTTGGGGGACTCGCAGGGCAGCAAAGCTATTAGACCTTTATACACTTGATTTTGGTACTTGGGATTGCCGTGGACCAAAGAATCCAACAGAACCTGCACTTCCTCCTGGGTCTCTTCTGACTTAGACTTTGCCAAAAATTCTGCTATGGATCGTACACCTGAGCAAAGAAGAGAGGAAATTCTAAATTGGAAGGGCTTTATGAAAATAATCCCCACCCAAGATTACATAATATGAATAGGATTAATAGCTCTTCAACTAAGCCTGTTCACCCAAAGCAAAACTGAGGCTTGGTTCTGATGTTGCATCACTGTCTTGTTTACTTTAGAGCTATGTGGCTTTCAGCATAGGCATGTCAAAGTCTGTGTTTTAAAGTTTAAAATGGCTCTGCACAATTTACAAATAAAACGTGCATTTTTTATTGCTATATGATAACCCTTTTTTTTTTTTTTTTTTGAGATGGAGTCTCGCTCTGTCGCCCAGGCTGGAGTGCAGTGGCGCGATCTGGGCTCACTGCAAGCTCTGCCTCCCGGGTTCATGCTATCCTCCTGCCTCAGCCTCCCGAGTAGCTGGGACTACAGGCACCCGTCACCACGCCTGGCTAATTTTTTGCATTTTTAGTAGAGACGGGGTTTCACTTTGTTAGCCAGGATGGTCTCGATCTCCTGACCTCGTGATCCGACTGCCTCTGCCTCCCAAAGTGCTGGGATTAAAGGCGTGAGCCACAGTGCCTGGCGGAGATAGAGAAAACAGGAAGGACAAGCTTTGGGAAGAAAATCAAGAATTCTGGCCATAAATTTAAGATGTCTGTTAGACATCCACATGGGAAGCCACTTAGGGAAAAAGTATACAGAGATGAGAAGGAAGAGGGTGACCTAACAGTCTTGTAGGGAAATAGGAGAAACAAGCAAAGGAGACTAAGGCAAAACCAGACTGTGGGAGGAAAACTTCTATCACAGAAGCCAACAAAAGAAAGCGAGGGAGTGATCAACAGGGTTGAAAGCAGCTGGGAGGTAAAGTAGGAAGGAAATGGTAAAGAAATGAATAGCTGGAGGGCAACTTGGGGTCAAGGAGGGAGGTACATCCCTAAATGCTATAATTTTACCTTTTTTTTTTTTGGTACATGTCTTTTAAATCTCTTTTAATCCATAAATTCCCAAAGAGGGGCTCTTTTAAAAATGGAAGATAGAAAGCATATTTGCACGTCAATGGAGATGGTCCAGCAGAGAAAAAGGGAGAGGTGAGCTACAGAAGGGAAGTGTTTGAGGGAATGTGCTTCAGAGAATAAGCAGAAGAGGGGGCCTGTGATAGGAACTGGGGACACTCTCATAATGGGAAGGAGAGTAGAGGATGTGGCTAACCTGACTCACCGGTCAGGCAGGTTGGTAGATGTGGTGGGGGAAGGTGGCGTTCTTCATGAAAAAGGAGGTGAGGCCACCAGCAGCTTCCTCCACCACTGACACCCACCGCAAGATAAACAATCGCCAGGCCCCCTAAGCCTCTCCGCCTCCTGTTGTCAGTGGACACTGCCCTGAGGATGCCACTTCCCCTGTAGCTTTCTCAGGGGAAGGATGCCAATAACCCTCCACTCTGCCCCACACACATGCCACATGGGAGTGGAGTGGGCACCCCCGACCCTTCTCCTTCCAAGACATTCAGTTTTCTCCTCAATGCAAACAAGCAAACACAAACAAAACCCCAGTGTCTGGCACAGTTCTTGGCACATCACAGATAATCAGTAAATATTTGTTTAAAGAAACAAACCAATCCTGTCCTTTTGAGATCAGTCCCTGTCACCCACTAAACTCTTTTCCCCGCAGTCACTCAGGCTCCTCTTGGACACAGGCTGCTTCTCCGTGCTGACTGCTGCCAGCATCCTGGGGCTTCACTCTGGTTTTGCAATTTGGTATACGCAAACTCAAAGAAATTACTCTCTAATCCTCCCCGGTCACCCACTGTTTAGGATCACATGGAGGACCCGTGGGAACTTTTCTTCCCTCCCTCGGGCAGAGTTTCACTGGAAACTGAAGGCGTGCGAATTTCTTCTCTCTCACAACTTCCGGTCTACGCGGACCATGTGAAACAGTGCCCTCTAGTGGGCAATTATTGCATACGCATTCTCTGTATTTGGAGTTATATGAAGACTATTTTGAAGCGCCTGGTTAAAAAAATAATAATAATACATTCATTCAACAGACTTTTTTTTTGTGCGCATCTGTTATGAGTCTGACATATCTAAAATGACCTTGAGGCACGTAGTTTCACTGTTATCACATGATCCTATAACAAACCAAATGCAGTCACAGAGTCGCGTTCCCACTGCCTCTTGCACACTGTTAGCTGTTACTGAATAAATGCAGAAGGACTTGAACTTAGGGCGATATTGGAAGAAGCTGTGGCCGGTTACAACTCCGGAGGACTTCATCAGCATAAGAGGTTTTGTTTTGGTCGGGTGCAGTGGCTTGCGCTTGTGATCCCAGCACTTTGGGATGTGGAGGCAGGAGGATCACTTGAGCCTGGGAGTTTGAGGGCAGCCTGGGCAACATAGGGAGACCCCATCTCTACAAACAATTAACTGGGCATGGTGATCTATGCCTGTAGTCCCAGCTACTTGGGAGGCCTAGGTGGGAGGATGACCTGAGCCTAGGAGGTTGAGGCTGGAGTGAGGCATGACTGCTATTGTGCTTCCGCCTGGGCAACAGAGGGTGAAACCCTGTCTCAAAAAAGAACAAAGTTGTTTTTTTTTTTTTCCACAGACTTCTACTGAGCACCCATTATGTTCCAGGTCCTGAGTTGGAATAAGATGAATCAGACCCAGTACCTGCCTTGGAGTTGCTGGGAGGTCTGGAGGAGAAAGGCATAGAGGCGAGTAATGACTAATGCAGTGTGTATGTGCAGTACTCACTTGCTCACTCATTCACTCAACAAACATGCAATGAGGACCTAACATGCTAGGGCTGTGCTGAGGATATAAGGATAAAAGCCATGATGGTTGAGCTGAAACTGCACACAGTCTATGTAAGGGGAAGGTACCATTTTAGACAACACAGCTCTGATGGAGGGGGGCTAAAGCGGGGGGCAGGGTGGTTCAAAGGAAGAAGGGCTGACATTTGGGCAGGGATTGAAGCCAGGGTCAGGGAAGGGCTTAGAGAGGCGATGCTTAAGCTGAGAAGTGATGGATGGATGAGGAGGAGTGGGCATGTTTGCCACACAGAGGTGGGGTGGGGAGAGGAAGGTCTCAGTGCTACCCAATCTAGTCTTTGGGATCGTTTGATTAAGCTTCCTAACATGATTCTACTACCAGGTCATCCCCTTGCTCCAATGCCAGTGACAACCCTCTGGTGCAGGGTCTGACTATTACTTAGGTCCCTGTACCACTCCACCCCTTCGCTGGCAACTCCTCTCCAGCCAGGACACTCTGCTCCAGCTGCTAACAGATTTTAGCATAGCATTATTTCTCAACATACAAGGCCCACATATGCACACAGAGCTTGCAGGGGTCAAAAAACACAAAACTGACAATGTTACTGAAGGAATACTATGCCTGACATTCAGTTTAAGCACTGCTGCCCAAAAATAACCTAGGTTGGAAGTGGCCTCCAGAGCTTTGTTGATCTTCCCCAGGATCTCACTTGTGTACCTGAACCTTAGTGCCTGGCTGCTCCTCATGCTCTCCTCCCCAGGCTTCCTGAACCTAGGGCTCAGCCTGTCATCCTAGACACAGGAGTCCCTGTCCCTATACTAATGGCCAGACCATTCCTGATTACTGGGCCTGTCTGTCCTGGTCTCTTGGGCCCCGCCCACTCCGACATCCAAACGCTGCCTCATTCTCCTCACCAGGCAGTTCCCTGTGCTGTCCATGCTCTCTTCCTGGGGCTATGTACCCAGCTGGACCAGCACATTCTTCTTTTGTCATTTGAACCACCCCAAATGCCTCCTAATTGGCCTCCAGCCTCAAGTGGCTCCCTGTGGCTCTGGCTCACCTGGCATAGCACCACCCAGGCCATCTTCGGAGGCACTGCACTCCCTCAGCCCTCACCTGTGCACAGCTCACTTTTCAGTGGCTCCACGCTGCCTACTGGAGAGACTGCCACCTACCCACATGGCATTCAAGGTGCCCCTCCATTGCTCATAGCTTACCTTTCCTAGACCTTTACCATCTCTTTTCTAAGTGACCTACCCATTATTCCCAGGACACACCTTGCACTTCTCTGTCTGCCTTCCTTTCTACCATCCCCCTTTCCCGAACGACCTCCTCTCCTCCTTTCGACCTTCCCAAATCCTCCTTATTGTCCACAGCTCAGTTCAAACACCACCGTCTCGGTGAACCCTTCTTTAATCTCCTCCTGTTGAAAATAGAATCTCCTTCCTCTGAACCACTATAGGAAAAGGGAAGGAAATTATATCGTTGAAATATCTGCCATGCGCTATGTGTTAAAAGCATAAACTTTAGAGTCAGGCAGATCCGGCTAGAATCCAATAGCTGTGTAACCTTGGGAAGCATACTTAATCTCTCTGGGCTTTATTGCTGTATCTTGAAAAACATAAAACTACATATCTTTACCATTCATTCATGGAAACATTTGAATACCTAGTATGTACCAGGTTTTGTACTCTTCTGGTTATTTTGTTGTTACTGTTGTTGTTTTGTTGTTGTTGTTTTGAGACAGAATCTTGCTCTGTCGCCCAGGCTGGAGTACAGTGGCGAGATCTCGGCTCAATGTAACCTCTGCCTCCTGGGTTCAAGTGATTCTTGTGCCTTGGCCACTCTAGTAGCTGGGATTACAGGCACATGCCACCACCCCCAGCTAATTTTTTTGTATTCTTAGTAGAGACGGGGTTTTGCTGCGTTGGCTGGGCTGGTCTCAAACTCCTGGCCTCAGGTGATCTGCCTGCCTTGGCCTCCCAAAATGGTGGGGCTACAGGCGTGAGCCACCATGCCTGGCCTCTTATGGTTATTTTGAGAAGTAAATGAGGTGATGTATGGAAAGTGGCGGGCACACAGAGGTTCTCAATAAATAGGCCGGGTGCGGTGGCTCATGCCTGTAATCCCAGCACTTTGGAAGGCTGAGGTGAGAGGATCGCTTGAGGCCTGGAGTTCAAGACCAGCCTGGGCAACATAGTGAGACCTCGTTTCTGCAAAAAATTAAAAAGTTAGAT